GATGATCATATACAATGTTATGCTACAATTCGCTATAGCCAACCATTGGATCATTCTAAAAGCGGTCCTTTCTCACGCCATAATGTTTTTTTTTGAGAATTATCCCTTTTGTTGTTGCAGTCCGCTTAATGCAACTTACTCTCCGTGGTCGTATGAAATTAGGTGCCAATTATCATTTATTTTATTACCAAGCAGTGCCATTCAGTGGCTTCACTGCGGAAGGTTTTTGCAAGGGTGTCGGTTGGCTGCGTACAACAAAATAGGACACGAAAAAGACTAGATTTTTTTCGAACTGCAAGCCGTGCCTCATTCTTTTGTTCACCAGCCCTCACTAGGAAACAATCGCTTTTGCACCTTGCGGAAATGTTTGAACAACGAATAAAATGATTTTATGAGCAATGACTGAACGATGATGAATGGCGTGTTTCTCGAGTAGTGGTTTTTTGAAGATTGTAGAGAATCGTAGATAGTGGAGCTGAACATATTGCCCAAGGGCATTACCCATTCATAGAGATTTCAAAAGTTTTTTGAAATGATTTCGTGATAAAATACTACATGATTAAATTTGAAAAGCCGTATTCTTCTCCAGGTATTTGACCAAAGACGGGAACGTTTATATGGATAGAGTAGAGCGGATTATGCTTGGTCTCGGAGAAGTAGAAGATGAAATTTTCAAACGCCGTCAGGTGTGTTGAATTTCGAGGCTTTCCATGATTACAAATATGTTGTAGTTACTCTGTGGCGGCATAAACAGGCAAATATCTATTCCCAGAATGTGCCTGAGGAATAAGCGCCATCTTGAGTGCTACATTGCATGAGAAATTCCTATTTTACAGTACTTTTGTTTCATTATTTGTATATTATTTCTAGCAAGATGAAGAACGGTTCAAAGCAATCCAGAAGGCAAAGAAGGCCCGTATGAGTGGGGGGCGTCCGCAAGCACCATCCTATGTGCCGAGGGAAGGTTCCTTAATTGCTCCTCTCTCAAGGGCAACACCAATGTCAGGAGAGACTACTCGTGCTCTCGCTGCTACTGCACGACAAGAGGTTTGTAAGTGTCATTTTTGTAAAATCATCGGCTACACTAAAAGTTGGTAGTATAGGCTATGCAGTACGCGCAGAATGAGGAAGCTGCTAGGCGCATGAAGTTGATGCTAAAAGAAGAAGGGACCAATTCAAATACGGGGGACAATCAAGGAAGTAGGAAAAGAAAATCGGAGGTTTGCTCTCCTTACAAAATGATTTTTCGAGCAAATTCAGATTGTTCAAAATTCGCATTCTTTTATTCACCTTTTGCAAAATCGCATGGAGTTGCCACCCCAATCATCTTGCAAATATTTTCGCGTTTTACGATCGAAATAGCACACAGATTACAATATCATATTTGCTGTCCTTACCCTCTATCGTATTTCCAGGGACCAATAGATCTCGACGACGAGGAACCTAAGGACGAAGTCCGACTATTCGAAGCTGGTTGGAAAGATCGCTATTATCGGTACAAATTGCCTTTGGTGGGTCACTAAATTCCTGCATACAACTGTAAGCCATTTCTAGAGCAAAGTTCGACGTCGGAGCAGACGATGTCGATTTCAGAAGAAAAGTGGCATGGGCCTACGTCGAAGGTCTTTGTTGGGTGCTGAAATACTATTACCAAGTGGGTAAAAACACAATGGTCCTTTACTTTTGTTACATTGATTTGTAGCACCGATGTGAATTTTAGGGATGCGTCAGTTGGGATTGGTATTTTCCATATCACTATGCACCGTTCGCTAGCGATTTTGATACTGTGTCTCAGTTTAAGCCTGATTTCTCCAAACCTACCAAGCCATTCAAGCCTTTGGAGCAGCTCATGAGCGTCTTTCCCGCTGCTAGCAAGTAAGTCAGTAGGGCATAACTTTTTTGGACTTTGTTCAAACGAGAAGTTCTGTTACAGGCAACATCTTCCCTTGCACTGGCAGAAATTAATGACCGATGAAGACTCGCCAATTATCGATTTATATCCGACAGACTTTCGTATTGATCTCAATGGAAAGAAGTTCGCCTGGCAAGGCGTGGCGCTACTGCCTTTTGTAGATGAAGTCCGATTACTCAGAACACTGGAAACGGTATAGTCATTTTGTTGCTGTATTCATATCAGTGTCATCCAACATGAACTGTTTGTTACTATTGACGGGTACATCTGCTTTCGTTCTTTGTGAGGATTGGTTTCAAGTGGTGCTATTAAAGTATTTGAACAATCCAGGTGCAACACACGTTGACAGAAGAAGAAAAAGCTCGTAACACCACTGGTCCCAACCGGATTTTTATTGGTAAAAAACATCCAGCTTTCGACTTTTTCAAGGAACTTTACAGCAGCGTCAATGGAGGTTTGCAATCTCTTTCAATTTATAACTTTTTATTGATGTGATTATCAGAATAACGAGTATCACAGCGATTGGAATTATGAATGTCTCTTCAAGTTTCAGTAGTGAACTCCGTTGACATTGATCCTGCATTCACTTATGGTATGAGTGGTAGAATCACTGCTGACAAAACGGCTCTCGCACCGGATTTGCCTTTCCCATCTCCCGTCAATGACAAATCATGCCCTGATTTGCCTGTGAGTTTCCAAGCACGTTCTTGTATTGCTTTTGCCAAAAATATGGCTGGTAAATTCTTGATTCGCAGAAAATCTCTCGTGAACTACTTTGGGTGATACTACCCTAAAACTCCATAGATAAGAGCGGTTTAATTTACCGGTGAAAAATGAATTGGAAAAAANNNTTTTTTCCAATTCATTTTTCACCGGTAAATTAAACCGCTCTTATCTATGGAAGCTCAAGGTATAACAATATTCAGCGTATGCTTTTCGATTGACCATTTACTGAATGTACTGTAATCTTTCATTTGCAGGTGAATGGAGCAATGATGGTGATCTATGAAGATCCTCATTATCCTGAAGGGTTTATTTTTCCTGCCAAGCGACTGGAGAACGCAAAAGAAATACCTCGTGCCCTTCGCGATTACAGTGATCGTAGGGTAGGTTTCAATCGAGTTTCTGTTGTAAATGAATCTTATGTAATTGACTGTGTTTGAAGGGTGGCGCTGATTATCGTCCACAAATAGGGTTCACCAGAGATGTACCACAGCGAGCAAGTCTTGATCCTTCCGCTCACCGCTTCGTTCAGCACAACGTTCGATATGACAACCGTGATTATGGTAAGGTCAAGAATTTTACTTGCAGAAGTATTCTAGTTAATTGTTTCAATTTTCTTTTTCAAGATTCAGGACCAAGTAGATGTCATATGTTCCCTCTAAACCTGAAATAATGAAATTTGATCATTTGAAGATGTAGATTTTTCAGACAATCGTAATAACGATGGAGCTCGAGGAAGAGGGTATGATGGTGGAGGAGGAGGCTACCAAGGTAAACAGGGCTTTGTTTATCCTGATTAGTTTCCTTGGTGGGTGAACAGTCAGAACGAATTTCAGGAGGTGGTTACAATCGCGGCGGTTACGGAGGTCAAAACGGACCCTACGTAGCTCGAGGAGGGAGTGGAATCTACCAAAACCCGTATGGCCCGAATCGCGGCGGCTACGACAGTGGCTACAATGGACCCCAAGCAAGGGGTTTCTCAAGTTCCTTATACGGCAACCAAGCACTTGGGAGGGGATACGGAGGAGTCGATCCAAGAGGACGAGGTGGAGCATACAATGGATCAACTGGACCGCTCCCATGGCACAGGCAATCTTAAGTATCTAGTGTTAATGATGTAATCAGTTCCAATTACTGTGGGCGTATTTTTTGATTCGTCTTGTGATTCAATCATCTAAGATGGTAGTCGGTTGCATTCCCAATAATACTCTGGGTGTTATTCTAAATGTACAGATTTGGCGTAACTTTGACGACCTCTTACAGACTCTCTCTGCCTCAGGCAGACTACTTCACTAGACAGTGATTATGTACCTTTGCATACCATTGTTGATTGTTGAGTGACTTGTTGTTTCCATAAAATATTTGCCTTAAGGATTTTCTTGAATAGCGCTCAGTCGCCTAACTCTTCACAGGTCTTTCTTTCGTAAGCTTACAATGCTTTCAGTAAGGACGTTCTTAGCGAAGAACCTTTCAACTTTGTGTCACAAGTATAATCATAGATGTTTCTCGCGACAACGTCCCCAGTCAAGAACATCGTTGCCGTTTAGGGATTCTTAAAACACTTGAAAGTGATAAAACGGGAGAAGTGATCCAGGAAAAAGCTGTCAAGGATTAACAACTTTGACAACGACTTTTCTACACTGGCTTAAATACTGCAAATAGACTCCGGCTAGTATTTGTATGTTTGCTTAATTAAAATTCTTTCAACATTTGTGCGTAATAACAACAATACGACCGTTTAAGCGAATAGACTTAGGAAAGCAAATTTGGCCTCTTTCAAGTCTCCAGTGGTAGGAGTATCAGAAACTCGCTTTTTCCCTGCTTCTTGTGTCAGCACATTGGTAGCTCTGCAAAAGATAGGGCTGCAGGTAGGAGGTAACTGAATTCCTATGAAGGTCCTCCTCTTGAACTTTACACATGTTGTCGTGAGCATAAGGCGTCGACCCTGGTGTGGTTTCAAGAGGGGCAAAAATTATGACTAATTATTCACACTTCATACCACTGTGAAGATATCCCATGGGTATTCATTCCATTCTTCACAAACAATAATAATAAACAAATATATGTGGAATTACTGATACCTGGTACTGATTCACTATTAGTATCCTCCTGGTTTCCCAGGCATAACATTTACCTTGGGTCGGCTTGTTTGTCAACCCGATTGTTTGCGGATTTGCCTGTCTATCTCACCGTCAGTAGGAATCCCCATGATTATTATTAGAATAAAGATGCGGAAGACCCTCTTCAAGGTGAGTTAGTAACAATTAGCAAAAGCTGAAAGGATAGCTAAGCGCGAGTGAGGGCCTAATTATACTAGAAAGGATTACAAAGGTACCAAGTTTGTTCTAACTACTTGATGGCCACTAATATAGATTTGTTTTGTGGCGTGATTGATCAGATCTACTACTTAGCTCTATGCAACCAAAGTGATAGAGTTGGTGCAAGCAAATGTTGGTACTTAGCACTGTGATTCAATAGGTTTTTTTTACAGCGCCTCTTTCATTATGATCATGACTTGGGAGCGTTGTTCTTACAACCAACGGCCTTCTGCAATAGCGCACTACGAGTTTTGAGTGGATGGAACTGTTACGTAATCCTTCCCAAATCCAGGATTCCAGCTTAAGAAGTAACCAATATCTCACTCTACAACGATCTCAGTAAGGGTTTGACAGAGGGTTTTCTGCGTCCATCTCATTGGAAGCGTGGTTATTTTCAAGCTGCACGCACAAGAAGGTGAATGGAGGGAGGGAGACACAAAATCCAATCCAACAATCAAACTCACTTTGTCTTAATTGCCTTTGCCTCAAAAATCGTATGAAAATACTGCGAAGTAAAAGCAAAGTGAATATGTCTGTGCTATCAGATTACAGGTTCATGACTCCCATGACTGATAGCGTAGCGGGACGTGAGTTCATGAGTGGGTACAAAGAACACAGGGTATATACATATTTTATTATTTATATACCAGTCGCGCCGCCCGGCTGACGCCAGGCTTCCCTCCTTCGTATGGTTTCGCCCGGCTTCGCCGGGCGCTCCGTCTTGCAAGAAATTTGCTATGCGTAAATAAAACTTCGGACTCTCCTTTCTCTTTGAAAGCTCTGCACCCTCAGTATTAGCTCAGAAATGGGAGCGATTTTTCTGTATTATAATTGATTATATAGTAATTAGAAGTCTCGATTCATTGCTCTTATTAATTTTGTCGCAAATGATATCAAACAATGAAGATCTTTCAACAAG